CTAACTGCTTGTAGGATTTTGGTCTTCTGTTGGATTTCTGGGATCTTGACTATTATATATCTAGGTGTAGATTTTTTTTTTGATCATGGCTAGTTGGAGTTCTATATGCCTCTTTTATCTGTATGTCCAATTCTCTACCTCTGTCTGGGAAGTTTCTACTTACAACAACAACTCAGACTTCCACCCCACCAAAAGCAAATTCCGGGGGAAACGAGGTGGAAAAGTCTGATAATCAACCACCTGGACACCCTAAACTGATAGCACAAGAAGTAACAAAACAAATGAATGAGGCTCTAGATATGTCCATGATATTTCTTACATAACAAAATCAGTGATATTTTAAACATTAATTAAAACCTTCTCTTTATAGCACTGGAATATAATAGAGTGCTTCAGAAATCTGATTTTGATAAAACATTTTGAAGAAAGATTAAGAAGTCACTAAAAAGTGATTGTAGGATGAAATACGTATATAAACAAAATGAAACCATATAAACGATCAAATCACCTGATATTTGCAAAGAATGATGATATATATTTACATGTATTACATATAGATCTTTACATTTATTAACATGTAGAAGTATGTCATGGGTGTAAATGTGTATATAAGCTCACATATATACATATCTTTAATTTCTCATATTTTGATTCTAGAAAGAATTTAGAACTGAAGTAATTCTATATTTATTGAAAGCCTACTATCTGCCAGCCGCAGGGTCAAAATCAGTATCAGTACGACTTTTACTGTTGATATAGACACGTTATTGATGTTGATTTTAGCTTACATTCTTCTGTTGCTGTTTTTATGTATTGTAAAAATGGGCAAATTTAGTCACAGACTAATTAAAGATATATGTGTGCATTGCAATAATATACAATAGAAAAATACATTTCTTTTCACAATTTTCATTGAAATAAGTGCCAACAAATGAGTTCATATTGCCTGTGTCTACAATATATTCCCATGTTACAAAACTAAGCGTGACAAAGGGCAGAGGAATGAGACCACCCAAGCAGGCCAGTGAAAAGCAATGAGGCACAGACTTTATTCACGTAGGTCCAGGTCCACTGTGGGCAACAAAGCCATCAGTGGCGAACAAAGAAAAGGCAGAGGGCTTTACAGAGGATTGGGAAAGAGTTTGTCATGCACAGGGGTCAGACCAAGTATTTGTGATTGAGGTCCATGTAGTGGTTAAAGCAGCTGTGTGAATGTTATCAGGTAACTTGGTGCTGGGAAGATGTTGTGCTGTACTTTGTAGTCTTACCACTTTTCTGTAACATACTGTTCTGTGTTCTGTCTGCCCAGAGACGGCACAGCCTGTATCTGGGTGGAGACAGCATAGCCTGCATCTGGTCTTTAGCCACCTGAAGGAATGGTGTGTGTTTGCTGAGGGCTGTGGTTTTTTGTATCTGCTAAAACTGTAGCTTGGAATTAAACAACATAATTTAAGCAGGTCATGGCCAGATCAAGCCTGACAGTAAGGTAATTTTTTTCAACTAGATTTTGATTGATAGGTCAACTTAAAAAGTCTCTTTAGAATACTATTGTTAGCCCCTAAATTCATCTCTTACTCCTTTCAAAACCCCTTCTCCCTCTTACTAAGTACCAACACATTTAAAATTTTAAAATTATTATTGTTTTTAAGTCATCTCCCGCTTGAAACCAGTTATCTTTTCCTTCTTTGCCATGAGAGCATTCAGACATGAAACTCAAACAAAGTTACCCATCTCTTAGTCAGGTATTAGCCACAATAGGTCCACCATTGGATTTGCTGTTTAAATCTACAACGATGTTCTGCCAGCCTGTTTTCAGTTACTTTATTAGGACTATGAGTACCAGAGCTTCCTCAGTGCAGCTTCATTACAGAACACAATGAGATCAGGAAGCAGAAATTCAAAGCAACTGATGAGTTTCCTTTCTGGTGGTGGCTAAAATTACTCTGAAGCATACAATGGCTTCTTTCCTAATAACCCCTCTGTTTTAGAAGCAGCAGAGTGTGAATGTCAATTTAAAGCCAGCAGAGGGTACAGGTGTCTGTTCTCAAGCCAGACTACTTGAGTTCAAGTCTTTGTTGGCTCAGTCAGTTGCCAAGCGGTAAAACCTGAGGCAGGTAAAGAAAAAATCTCTCTTCCCCAGCATCACAGAAAAGAAATAAAAAGATATATCTCCCTAGGCCTTGGTTTCTCCATTTGTAAAATGGATATAACAATAACTTATCTCTCAGAGCACCGCTGTGAATACTGAATGAGTATTTGGGCTTACATTGCTTACATATATCAAATACCTCAGTGTTACCCTACGAATGTGTACAATCAAAAGAAAAATGATAAATAAAAAATTTGTGCTTAGCATCACACCAAGGACTCAGTGTAAGAACTACAGAAGTAAAAGCTAACTTTGGTGTAGCTCTGAAAAAGTGGCAACTGCAGAAACTTTTGAAATCTTAAGCACTCTTTCAGAGCAAGTACATTCCTCTATTGTCAGGACCTCCAAGAAAAAAATGAAGTTGCAGGCACTTCAAGCACACTTTATCTAAAATGGAAAACAGAGATCTCAGGCAGGTTACATTTTCCAAAGAACAGAGTATCAAACTGGTTTTGGCTTGCGACTTAATCTTAAGAAGACAATAAGTAAGGCCACAGTCACTGACTTTGAACGCTAAATTAGATGAGCTAACATTTAACTTCTTTCAAAGTAGCAGTCTCAGAAGCAATAGAAAACATTTATTAGCAATCTATTTTAAAGACAGCTGTTCAACTGGCATTGAGTTTGAAAAAAATATATTAAAATATATTAAACTATGATTTTTTTCATTCTTTGAATTACAGAGATCATTATAGCCACTTCTGTGAGATTTAGCTAATTTTTACTTTTACATACACTGCAGTTTTATTATTCATCTTAAGGCAGTTTCAAATTATTTCATCAATCTTGATCTTTGCTTTTAATTTATGCAGTGGAATTTACTTGCTCATTGGTGTGAATAATTTTCAGTATTTTGCCAAACAGCCTGTGGGAACTGAAAACACAAATTGCATATATTAGACTTTTCTGTTTGAGTGTAAGGCAACAAAAACAAATGATGCTACAAACCTAACTTTATTGAATTCCAGGCACTCATAACTAATTCATAAATTCCTTTTTTGTCTGTGATTAAGAAAACAAATTTGACTTATATATTTGGGAAGCAAATAGTAGAACAAAGCATATCCGATGGTTATAATAATTTGCCATTTCACTTTATTGTGATTTATGTTAACCTCCCTAATCTGACTAAATGTTTTATATATCATCAACTGCATTGTTCCAGAGCATACTACATTAGAGGCTGAATCAATAATTATAGGCCAATTTTATTATTCTTGTACTTAGGTACTTCCAAGCTCAGCCTGCAAAGATTGTTCCCATCAGTTTCCTAGTGCTGGGAAATCTCTCCAGCAGTTAGGAAGGTTTAATTTACTGAGGTGGCTGCAACTGCTTAAAAATATACTGTCAGACGCTGATGCCCCTCAGTTTTTGGGGAGAGCCAGCATGGTCGGAGCCCACCAGCTGAGTCTGGCTGGGACTAGCTTTCTGCAGAGCTTCTATGGAGAACAAGAAGAGCAGAATTTGGGAGCTGAGGCATCCTCCCCTCGCCAGCAGCAGCCTGAGGTTCTGCTGAGTGGTGTTGAGTATGGTCCATGAAGTACCTTATTGTCTGGACATTTACTTCCTCCACCAGCTGCAGAACATATAGCACCCATACAAGAGGTGGTCAAAGGAGAGGAGAGAATTATTCACCTTGCAGGGGTCCACACTGGAGCTGAGGGACTAGGTCTATTTGCACATTCCATCTCTCTTCACAGATACTCTTGCTTCAGGCCTTCCACAGCTGCTCTATCTCTGAGAGGAATCTAACCCAGCTACAGGCCTTTTCTCATGACCTATGCGCACTGTGCACATCAGAGCTTCGACATGATTGCTGTGCGAAGGTCTGAGTGACTTGAAATCCCTTGGCATTATGACCTGGAAAAGAATGATTGCTTCATTTCCTTAAATATGATTTCCAACTATCATGACTTATTTTGATTGGACTAAAGTTTGAAGTCATCATCATCAAAAATCTATCAGTTATTATTTCAAATATAAAGTGATAGAAGAAAGATTACATTTATGGAAACAAAATTTCATTAAAAAGACTTCATGTGAAATTTAATGTACACTTTATAATTTAACAATTTCTACAATTTTTGTTTTATTTTTATCCTATTTATGTAGTACACATCAAACACAGAAAAAATTTTAAGCTCCAAAGATTCTGATTGTTTTCTCTGTGCATTGACTCAAAAGATTTGGGAAGCACCGTCCTCTAGTTCACTAGGGATTCTTGGTAAGTCACATCCCTGCCAGATTGTCCCAGGTGCTTTCAAAAGTAGACATGAACCCTTGGCTGCTGACATGATCAGCACGTAGATCAGTCTCAAAAATTCTGTCTTGTCTTCCACCTTGAGCTTGCAATGTCTCCTGGTCCTGTCACACCGGGCCATGTGTATGTTTTACACTTGCCTGTGCATTAGACTGGAAAAGTGACTGGAGAGAGGTTCATTTCCTGCGAGTCTACTGTCCCTGCCAACTGACTTGGCCAAATCGGTCACCTAGATGTTGTGTAAAAACTCACAAACTCCTTCAGCCTGTGAGGCCGGCCAACAAGCAGGTCTGGAGCAGCTGCCCGTGCTGCTTCCATGCCCTTTCCCTTCCTCCGGGCACACTCCGTGCCCGTGTCCCGGGCTTTCGATGACGCCCAGGCGGTGCCGACCTGTGGACAGGCTCTGCTGGGCTTCAGGCCGTGCCTCTCCTTGGGAATTCTCCGCAGGTGTCTCAGGAAGTGGAGGCGAGGCAGGTGGCTGGCGCTCCTCCCTTCCTCTCTCGCCCTTCAGTTTCTGTGCCCCCGACCCTGGAGGTGGCAGAAACCCGCCGAGCTCCTGGGAACACCTGGGGCGGTCTTCCGGGAGCGCGCGACCGTGCCCCCCTCCCCGGCCTCGCCGGAGGTGTTTGTCTTGGCCTCTGATCCCGGCTCTTTCTGTTTCGCTTTTCCTTTCGCTCGGGGTGGGTACTCCCCGGGGGAAGGTGGCCAGGGCGGGGATCCCAGCTGAGCCCTGGCCCCTAGTCGGGTGCGCTGGCTACAGCTCCCAGGAGGTACGGGGCGCGAACTGCCCGCCCGGAGAGGGGAGGCATTGGTAGTTCGCAGGGCGCTGGAATTTTCCCCGAATGCCTACGCGCCGGCCCCTCCCGACTCTGGTTCTCCTCACCCACTGGTCCGCACTAGCCGCCGGCCGGCCGTCCCGCCCTCTGGACCAGGACTCCAGTTTTGAATTGTGCTACGTACAGAGTTGTTTTTCCCCTTCTGACCCTTTATTTTGCTCGTAGTCTCTGCCCCATCCTCCCGCCCCTGCACGGGCGTAGACGGTGGCTCCCTGCGCCCGGTGCGCTTCTCCAGGGCGCCCCGCGCTCCCCGCTGCGCACGGACGGTAGCTGGGCTCCGCGCCCTGCGCCCCTCGGACCCGCTCAGGGTGGCGGAGGGTGAGCGACACGCGCCCCGCTGCCCCTGCCACGCCCGTGTTTCCAAGAAGATATGGTCTGGGAGTCCTGAGCGCCGAGATTTGAACCTAGACAAGCTCAGAAAAGTCAAGAAAGGTACCGCTCTCTTCCTCCTTGTGCCTTTGAAACTCGCTGTGGCTGCTGCTTTTGCAAAAGAAATTACTCCTTTCTCTGATCCGGACAGGTCTTCTGGGGCGAGAAATGTGTAGGAATAGGCAGTGCTTGGCAAGTAGGCCTGAGTCTGCCTTAGCGACGGCTCCGCACAAGCCGCTTTTTCCCTTCAACAGTTATCTGGAATGCCAGAACAAACTGGAGGAAATGCAGGCAAATTGTATTGACATAAAGTTCTTATTCAAAGGATCTTTAAAAGAACATCCAGTTAATTTCTTCAAGTGTTATTGCGACTGTATATTGCAAAAGAGTACAATTCACTTGTATTTTATTTATGCAATTCCATGCATTTAAAATTATGATAACTTAAAAGTATTTGTAAAGAAAGTGATTCTTGAAGGATGGCTAACAGTAGACTCTTAAGGATGAGTCAGAAGGTGGAACTCGAAGCAAAGTGGTTGTGAGCAGCTATTTTCCAGTAGACTTTTTAAAAAAACCTACTTTCTAATATTATGTTACTGACATGACCCCACTTGCAAGTAGTACTCATCCTGAGATTTCGGTGTTATTAACTAGGCCGAATTTTAATTAGACTCGGATTTCTCCTGCTGTTTGATGTGTCTTGCAACAGTGGCAAGAAAGGGTTAGATTGACTGCAGGCCCACAGCTTCTGATAGGCAGAGTCTTATGGGCTTATTTTTGTGTCACTGCTTTCTGATGATTTGGAGTGGAACTACAGTTCTGTTTTTAAATGATGCTTTTTGTTTTAATCCCTGCAATTAGTATATCAAATGTCGACAGCTCCGTTACAGTGTTTATCAATGAAATATGTTTATCAGCTATGGAGGATGGAGGATGGAGAGAAACAGTGGTTTCAAGTTTAATGAAATAAGAGTTTGGAAATGGAAGGTTTTAACCTTGGATTTCTTAATCTCAGGTTTGCTGCCTCTGAAGGATTTCAGAAAGGCTGTAGAAGGAGCCCTGAATTCCTGTTTCTAATATGTCTTTGACCCAGACAGTTAAAATTTTTAGAACTTAGAAAACTGTCCTTTTCTTCCCGTTTCTCCTAGAACCTTCTGTTTTGTTAACTGTTCTTCTGAAGCTTTTTTTAATGATGATATAGACAGAGCTGTCTTCAGATACACAATTTGAGTTTTGGCCAATAATGTGAGTAAATAACGACATCTATGAGTCCTTACATACCAAACATTGTTTTCACTGTGCATTTAAAAAAAAATCATCAACATGAACATGTGGTAGAGATTGGATTTTATAGCTGAGGAAATTGATGTATACAGTAATTAAATAACTTCCCCAAGATCACAGAGCTAGAAAGTTGGCACAACTAGGACTCCAACTTCGACAGGTGTGATTGTTGGCATTTTTAAAGAATGATATTATTCCTATTGAAATATTTTCTATAATTTGACAGTGACAATGATTTCATTTCAAGACAGTGTTACGACACTAAAACGTTGGCTTTAAAGTACCACTTATATGGTACTTGTGTAATGGACATTATTAATTATCTATTTAATATCTTTATAATCAAGTAATATTCACATTAATATCCGTATATGTTTGGTTCCTTGGACATTTTCTTTTATGGTCCACATATGAAAGTACTTGTGTAATTTGCATCAGTTTCTGCTGTTTGATTGATGAATAATAGACAAATTTGGATTAAGCTGTACATGGAGTGATCAAAATGTACAGTGAACATTTAAATTTTAAGACATTATTACTTTAAATGACTCATTGCCATTAATCCCCTTCAAAATACTTCCCCTCACTTCAAACATACATATCCCATTATTCTTGCCACCTTCAGAAGCAATTCTGAGAGTTCTCTTTCATGAGTGTTTTTATGAGGTGTGATCAAATATATGGTCAATGCTGCTGTTGAGTGTTATCCAGTAGGAAGGAAAACTGATAAAAACTTTACAGTGTGTCCTCATCCACCTTATTCATGGATCTTCTACCATGTCACCTTTGGCTATGCCTGAAAGTCAAAATAACCATGAAAGATAAACAGTCTGAGTCAATTCAGGACATCTGGGCAACTCTGACAGAGCACCTAAAGACACTCATGGAAGGAGACTTCCAGAACTGGTCTAGGAAATGTTAGGAGCAATGGTGTAAAAGTGTTGTATGGGAAGGTGAGTATTTGGAGGGGGATTAATGGCAGTATGCCTTTTACTGTAATATTTAAAAATGTAAACATTCACTATATTTTTTCAACCACACCTTCATATATCTGTATCTGTCTATCAGAGTAGAATGCCAGGAGTCATGGAGTGATCAGCAGGTAAGAAGTCCCTATTGTTTGGCAACTCCAGTTAACTATTTGGGAACTCCCCTTTTCAGAAGCTTCTATGGTGGCAGCATTGGCAAGAAGCCAGTTTCTTTGTCTAGCTCAACATTAGTTCTCAGATTTACTCACTCAGTCATAACAGTAATTGCATAAGAATATTGAAATTGAGCTGGGCACGGTGGTGCATGCCTGTAATCCCAGCACTCAGGAGGCTGAGGCAAGAGGATTGTCATGAGTTCAGGGTCAGCCTGGACTACATAATGAGTTCAAGGCCAACCTGATCTGGCCTACATAGTGGGACTTTGTCTCAAAAAACAAACAACAAACAAACAAAAAACAAAAGATTATTGAGACTGAACATTGCTTAAATGCTTGCTGAAGTGGTTGGATGGAAAGTTCTGTAGAGGAACTGAGAGAGACTTTGTGGATTTAATGAGTAGTGGAATGTAATTAATAATTTGATGATAATTCTCACTAATTATCAAGCATATGTATATAACATATATGTATGTATCTTATATGGTTATGGATATGTGCATATGTATGCTTACATAGAATATATCACTTGTTAACAGCTGGGGATAGATACAAGGGATTATTTTCTATTCTCCTTCCAGACTATAATGAATAAGGAGATGGGGTAGCCAAGATATCTTGAAAGAGAAACTGAAGTACAAATTATTGTTATTAACAGTATCATTCTAGTAGGAACCTAATATGAATCTGAAAGTTACAGAAAATGCTAAGGGGCTATGTTTCAGGCACCTTGCTGGTATTTCTTCTGCGTGACCTCATTGAATTCTAATAACCATTGTGTTTTAATCCTGGCTGTCAAACAAGGAAAAAAAGATTGTTGCATGCAGAATTTCATTTAGATTAGGACTTCCTAGCAAGATACTCTGCTGAAATTTATTTTGATTTCAAAGTCAATGAGCTCTCTTACCCTTTTCTTTTTTGAATTTCATGTTTTCTTTTCTAGGAAAAGTCAGGTGTACAGTATAACAAAAAATAAAATGCCCATATCCTTGCCATGAAATAGGGCCTCATTTAGGGTAATATAATGTTATTCATTACATTGCTTTATGTTAAGAATGATATCCTCTTTACAATGCTTTATCTTTTATTAGTATTTGTTTGCAAAACATAATCTTTCCATTCCTTGTGTGGATTTGGTACCTGTACATAACACGTCTTAATTTCTTTTTTCTTCCCTTTTCCCTTCCTTCCCTCCCTCTCCTTCCCTCTCTTGGTCCATTTCCCATCTGAAAAAGATCTATTTCCCTACTTTATGTTATCTTTTATTTTGCCCTTTATTTATAATTTGGTTTCTCATATAAAAAGTTATTCAGTGCCGAAATGAAAAATAGGAAAAAAGAGGCTTTTTGAGCTCAGTTCAGTTCAACAACATTATTTTGTTCACAGTTGTATCTGAAGGCAATGTATTTATATCCACCTGCTTGGGGTTTTATCTTACTGCATGGGGAGGGGACTATATAAGACCATATAAAAGTGGAATCCAAAGTCTGAATGCACTGCATAGTTGTGTCTTCTCCCAGTGCTAATGGTTCTTCAGAGTCTTTACAGGTTAACAACATCAGGAAAGTGATAGGAATTATTTCGCTAAATGAAGGAATAGAAACTGAAAATGGTCCTCGAAGGAGATTGAATGTTAATCACAAGATTGGAGGGGGAGAAGAAGAAGCTCTGTTAATCATTTTAGCATATAAAATAAGCTCAAAGAGGACCTAAGTCCTGAATTATCCTTTTCTTTGATTGGCATTGTGCATATCCTTTCTAATTGAAACTTGAGAAAGGAAGTTCCCCCTGTGCTCCCTGGGGCAGCACATATACTAAAGTGAAGCAGCCTCTTCAGACTGTTGGCACTGACCTCTAAAATTTTCAAGGCATTATCCCTTCATTGAACATTTCACAGCTAGGGATCTTGCAATATATTTTCCAGTTTTTTGTTTTCCTTACTCCTCTACAGTAAAAATAAGTATATACATCAAAACTTAAGTTTTTAAGGGATTTTTATTGTTAAAAAGTATCCTTGGTTATGTTGTTTTAAATATGAGTAGTACACAATTAATCAAAATAACCCTTTAACTTTTAATAGTTAGTGGGAATAAAACTAAAACTATATTTTAAATGTGTATTATAGAAGTGCATATGCTTGATATCAGTGTTCTTATTAAAATTTTCTTTTGCATCAGCCTTTAAAATTGCCTCTGTGGGTGTTGCCTTGGGGAGGCAGGGCATATAGTGAGATTGGGCAGGAGAGAGGAACTTGTCTTTCTTTTGTGACTCAATGGGGAAAGGGTTGTTAGGAAAGGGGAAGTGGGAAAGGAGAACTGCCTAGAAATCTGCCTTCCTCGGGCACATTAGGAGCAGCACTGGGTCACTGCTGAAGAGGGCCTCGGTGAAGCGAATGTGGAAAGTAGTTCCCGTAGAATTCTGTGCCTACACAATGTAGCCTTGCTAGGGTGCCCCCCGAAGTGCTTGCTTTTCACTTAGGAGATTTCTGGTCTATTCAACCTACCCCTGCACCCTTCCCTTGGATTCTGGATTAGCGTGACTTATTGTGCTTAAGGCAAAGTGTGCAAGTCAGGCAGGGAGCCCCAGGAAGCTGCCCAAAGACAGCCTTAGGCAAGGAATCTTCACAGGGGCTTGG